TAATCAGTTTTCAAATTATAAATATTGATACATTTACAAGACCAGACAAATTAATCCTAAGGTTACCATTGTGAATCGGGCATGGCCATTTTTGCATAGAAAGTTACTTGAAATTACACTTACAGTCTCTTTAAAAAAAAATACTAAATGATGTATGAACATTTAACATTATAGCTGAACGAAGGAAGTCTTATTAAATGATGTTTCATTTAGCATGTTTATAAAATAGGCTTTATAGAGATTAGAATTGAACTAATGAATATTTTACATCATCCCCCCCCTTCTTCTCAGTTAAACTATTAATTCAATAATGGATGAGAATGTGCTCCGTCATTTACCCTTTATGATACATTCATGACAGAGCTAGAAACTTTTACGTCAAAACTATATCCAGAGTTGAAAACTTTAGAAATGGAGACCTTAAATCCCGATCACTTAATCTAAATATCCGATGTGAACACTTTTAATTTCCTTCTTAATCCGCCCATTTTCTTCCTTTTCTCTCCCTTCCATTTCACGACCCACGAGAAATCACTCATAAAATGGCAGATACAATTTAAAATTTTCCGGCTTCTCTAATTGGCTGTTCTGCTTTCCCCCCCCCCCCCCGCTGGATTGGTTGATTTAATCCACTTTTGTTGATACAAACATTATGATTACATTAATCTTGAAATTAGAAAAAAGCATAGATCTCTAGATATCCACAAAACTTTTCAGCTCTGGAGATCCTAGATTGTAGAACCCATTTTTAGGGAGGGGGGGGGGTCAATGTTGTACTCCCCCCCCCCCCAATTTTAAACATTTCTACGCATGCCTACGGTATTTGACGATTTCTCAACCTCAAAATTGAAACTTGAGAGGGGTGGATGCAGATACACTACGTTTTCTCTTCAGTTCCAGTCTCATCTACACTTTCATTTTGAGTTTTAGGAAGGGTTTTAGTAAATGGAAAATTGTGGGAGGGGGGGGGGGGGAAGGGCGTGGAAAATATGAAAATTAGTGGAGTGTGTAATATTTAGGGCGGAGGAGAGATAAATTAGGGTTCGGGAAACTTTGTGTAGAGTTTGGGTAGGGATGCAATTACAATATTTAGTGAAATGTAATGTCTAGTGGGGTGGGTGGTGCGGGTACTCAACGTAATGTGTAGGGAGGGAGTGAATGTAATGTGTAGGGAGGGAGTGGGATACTGAATGTAATGTTTAGGGAGGGAGTGGGGTACTGAATGTAATGTGCAGGGAGGGAGGGGGTACTCAATGTAATGTGTAGGGAGGGAGTGGGGTCTTGAATGTAATGTGCAGGGAGGGTCCACTTTATGATAAAATTACTATATCACATATCTTCAGGACAGCGGGATATCTACAATATACCATGTGTGTCCTCTACAGAACACTTTTTCTTCTTTGGAGCCGGAAACTTAAGAGAGTATCGTAGAATAAAACTCCCGAGTTTCCTCTTTGGGTTTAAGGCATTCAAGCAGATTTTCAAGAAATTAATACAAAACTAACATTTGAAATTATATTTGAAAGAAAGAAAAAATGATTACAAATTGTTAATTCTCATTTATGAAACCGCAATTCCTATACTGGGTTTAATGACGATACCTGTTTTAAATTTCGGGCTCTGGTTTTATATAATCAATCGTGTAATATACAGAGTACAGACACACACATACATACATATACATGTACAATACATACATACATAAACTTACATAGATATAGATACATAGATATTAAATCTGTAGAAACAGTTAGGTAGAAAATTTTTTAAAAGTTGTTTGGTAAGGTAGAAAGGTCAATTTAAATATAGAAAGTTATAGAGAAATGTAGAAAATTGTATAGAAATGTTAAATGTTGTGGAGAAAGACAGAAAATTGTAGAGAAATGTGGAAAGCTATGGAGAAATGTAGAAAGTTGAGGAGAAAGGTAGAAAGTTGTAGAAAAATGTAGAAAGTTATGGAGAAATGTAAAAAGTTGTAGAGAAATGTAGAAAGATGTAGAGAAATGTAGAAAGTTGAGGAGAAAGGTAGAAAGTTGTAGAAAAATGTAGAAANGATCGATAGATAGATCGATAGATAGATCGAGAGATGGATTAGACATGGTTCAATATAGTTTAGTTATTATTTTCAAGTCTTCAATCGATCTTGTCCTCCATATTTCACACATTCTCCACTTGACAGTGATTGATCATTTTAACTAAACTTTATACTTTTAGAGTAGAGGATTTGAAAAAATATTTATAATAATGCTTTGCGCCTGTTTTAAAGTATTTTTTACCTTTGTAAGGTTGCAATTACTGTGACCCATTTTTATTTTTTCTTTAATAAACCAAAAGAGCTGAAAACTTTGAATATTTCTTCTTTTGGATTTGGTCAATTTTCAAATTTTTCAAAATTCAAAAACTTTGGTTAAATCAGTTAATTTGAAATAAATCCAAATTATCTAAGTTTTAAAAATCCCGGCCCTACCCATGTTTTGATGCATAAGCTTCAAGTAATTGTTAAATCATGATGAAATCTGCTAATTGAAGGTTTCAAAACAGCTAGGATGATAACAAAAGAATATTCCAAGCTAATTACAACAATTTTATCAAAGACGTCAATTTCGTTGTATAGTCTTGTTAAACAATTTATTTTTAATGAGACTGTCCGTGTCACTTCAAGTGAATCTTCCTGATTCACAACGGTACCCTACATTTTTTCTGATCACATAAAATGGATGATTTTCAATTATGGTTTTCTTAAAAGTGTCTCGAGGATTTATGCAGCTGAGACAATGAAAGAGATCAGGAAAATTATTTTCTTTCCTAGACATCAGAAAATTTAATCTTCTTTATTGTATGTCCAATAGGGTATAAGGGCACAGTGGCACAGCGTTATGATTTTGGCTTTAAGGGTCACTTGAAAAAAAGGTCGAGAGTAACAAAATAGATATGAAGCAAAAATGTTGCTGCCGAATGTTAATGTTGATATATTTAATTGGGGGTTTTAGAAAGTTAAAGCTTCTTTAGCTTTCAGACGTTGTTCTTTGTTTCATTAAAGTCTCCTACAAATTCTAGGTACAGAAATGACTTTGTTCCCGCATAATATCAATTTTTATTTTCAATATTCAAATAATGTTTAAAATAAAACAGCATTTAAATCATTAAATAAAGGAAAATCCCCGAATCCCCCCCCCCCGAAAAAAAGGATTTCTACATGGAAAAGAAATTAAGAAGATAATGTATTTGGGCAAAAAACTTGAAAGGATAAGTGTTACAACTTCACCCCTCTCTCTCCTACTCCCTCTCCTCCCTTAACAGTGTTCCTTGAAACTTGAATATTTGTGTGTGCTACATCAATATGTTGTCAGTTCATAATATTTAATCATAATAAGATTAGATATTAACCTTCTTCAAGTAAATCATGATTTACCCCCTCACCCTTCGATCCCCCACCCCCTCCCCTGTGCCTCTAATATTCCTATTCCCCCCCCATCCCCCTTCCTTACCTTCCCTCTCCCCTTGACGTATTAAATCGCCAATAGCACTTAAGATAAATGAAAACTAATGCAAGTAAATCATCAAGCCCCCCCCCCCTCTTATATTCAGATGATTTATAATTCTTAGTGCTTCTCGCCCCCTCACAGCCATCTAGCCCCCTCACAGCCATCTAGCATCATTGTAATAATATGCATTTTTAAAACTAAAATTGCAGGGAATAAAGAAAGAAAAATAACAGGGGCGTAGTAAGGAACTTGTCCAAGGGGGAGGGGTTTAAATTTTGTTTCTTTCCAGGGGGCTCAGCATCCGTTGGGGCCTGAAAACCCCCTTGAAATCAATAGATGTCACTGGTCTGATCCACTATACCCCCCTCCCTGACTACGCCTCTTATAAAAAAATTTATAGAAAGAATGAAAAAAATAGATTACTGACCGGAAAACTAGAAAGATTGAAAAATAGATACAAATGAAAATTAATAACAAGAGGAGAACAAGCATTATTTAATTAAGAAAAAGAGAGAACCAAGCAATGATCACAATATCCACCATTCTATAGTTTTCAGGTCAGTTGAAGCATGTAAAAAAAGGTTTCACGAAATATTATAATTTGGACATTTTTAAGCTTTCTTGACCCAGCAAACTTGAAAATGAAAAATTTATTGAAATATTTTAAATCTAAGTGTGCATTGAAAAAAATAAAAAGTTGAAAATTTACTTTTTATGTGTCTGTGCCAAAATTGTGCAAAATTTCTTTGCAAAACTTGGGCAATCCACTTCTATCCAAAGAGCTTTGAAAAATATTTTTTTTGAGTTATGTTCACAAAACGAAGGGGTGTCCGGGAATATTTCCCTCCTTTACACCCAGTACGAAAAAGATAAATACAGAGATAGATAGATAGAAAACAGATAGATAGACAGATAGACGAATAAATAGATAGATGAATCTAGGCCGGATGATAGTTGTATATAAGTAAGGAGTGTTGTAACTAGTTATTGTTGAAAGACAATGCATCTTCTACCTTCAACTCTCTGTACCTTAGTCTCATATATTATTAATCTAGTTGGATCGATAGATAGATCGATAGACAGATCGATAGATAGATCGATAGATAGATCGATAGATAGATCGATAGATAGATCGATAGATAGATCGATAGATAGATCGATAGATAGATCGATAGATATATCGATAGATAGATCGATAGATAGATCGATAGATAGATCGATAAATAGATTTTGAAATTTTCGATGTTCATGAATAGGTATTGAATGGAACAATCTTGACTCCAATTCATTTTAGGTTTTAAATGAATACTGTTGAAGAAAAAACTTATTGAAATCAAATCAAATTATTTATTATTTTTTATTTAACTCGCCACATCGTACATATATAATTATATAATAAATAAAAAGTTTTATTCTGATTATATAATACATTATAAAATATTTGTTTTTATACATATGCTATATTTCTAATAGAGTGTTATTAAAAAAGAGAAGAAAAAAATCATAAAATATGTATAAAAAATGTAAATCTTTTTTTATAAAAATGATAAATCTAACTGATCAAAACAAAATCTTGAATCTTTAATCTAGACTTAATACGTTCATGGAATCAAAAATCAATTTAACGTTTAGTAAATCAATCTTCATGGTTTTAAACAGTGATTATTATTATTATCAACATTATTGTTATTATTTAAAAACTTGCAAATCTAGAATGTTGTTCACTTTGTGTTTTTTCATCAGCTTTTTAAACACATTTCGGCCAGAAAATAAATGCTCATTAAGTCTGAAAACAAACATTTTTTAAATTCATAAAAAAACTAATTTAAAAGCAGCAATTTTAAAAGTTGGAAGTTATTTAACAAATTGACCCTAGCGAAAAGAAAGTTATTAATAGAAACTTTTAAAATGATTGTAAATCGGTTCCTAAATAAGTATTACTATCGAAAATGTTCGTGAAAATCTCTTAAAAAGTTTATATAAACTGTTTACAAAAGAGATTCATTGAAAATTTGACTGATCGAAATTTTGCGAAAGTGATTTTTCGAAAATATGAAAACCATAAAACTAATATATGACCTGTTGCAGTAATGTGCTTTGATCCAGCCACTAAAAAAAAACATTATTTCAACGTTTTATTTTACAGTTTACACTAGAGATTGACATCGTTTTAGTTAACGAACGAAATATTAAATTGAATGAAATTACTATTTTTTCTCAAAACAAAATTAATATTAATGATTCAAAATTGTTTAAGATCTTTCTCAGAGGATTTAAACCCAGCCTTACTTCATTTTACCTAAACGAACTTTTTATTAAACAAATAATTTCATTGAATGATTTAACTATTAATTCACTTCAGGAAAATAGGACAGGCTTTAAAACTGAAATCAACCTTAATAAAAGGCAAACATCTGAGTATTCTCTCTAATACTGGAAAGGAATTGAGTCTTTGGAACAAAATCAAATATTTTAACCACAATATCTCGATGTTGTAAACCTTTGATATTTCAAATTCAGATTACTTGATCTAACAGAATTCATAGTTTGAAATATCTAAGGTATGCAACATTTGGTTCCAAAGATATAGTGATAAGAAAATCTCGTGTTTGTGGCAAAGACTCAATTCCTTTACTGTGGCTGCTTTTTAAAAAAGTTTTGAGGCCACAAACTCAGATTTTCTAATACTTGTATCTTTCAAACCTGATGGTGTACATTTTGTATTTTTTAACTAATATTATATTTTTGAATAATATTTTGAATATCTAAGGTCTTAAACTGAGACATTGGGCTACAACTTGCAAAGACATAAGGATCAAAAACTTATATTTTTGGCACAGACTCAGTTTATTGCCACCTAAAAAAACGACGAGAATTGTTGATTTTACTTTAGTAGAGGGGACACAGAAGGTAACTTTGAAAATCCATCAAAAAAAAAACTAAAATATTTTTTTTAAATTACCTACAGCCGGCTTTCTTTTTCCACCAGTCCTCCAAGTCTTCATAAATCTTAAATCATAATTATTTAAGATAACATTTTATCATTAGTATTGTAGTTATCATTATTATTATTCTTTTATAATTATTATTGCTGTTATCATTATTATTGCTGTTATCATTAGTATTGCAGTTATCATTATCATTATTATTATTCTTATCATTATTATTGCTGTTATCATTATTATTGCTGTTATTTTTTTCTCACCTTTGTACTATTATTAATATTCAGATATTCACAAAGCCTGCAAGGAAATGATGGAGGGATCCTATCCCGGTCTAATCAATCAATTAATTAAAGGGACTGTACGCCTAATTTCAAGTGATCTTACATTTAAAAAGGTGCCTTCCCCAATTTTATCCTTGATGCTCAGTCAAAGATTTAAAGGGGATTTCACCTTTTTAATGGGAGGTCATTTGAAAAAACACCTACAGTCCATAATATGATAATAAAGATTATATTTTTTTTAAGTCTAAATAAAATTTAAGAATTTTATTCACAAATAAAATTTTTATTTTTACAAATCCAACCTGAGTTCATTAAAGATAATTTCTATTTTAGAAAAGTAAATGTTTTTGTTAATTTCAACATTTTAATTTTTTAACTACTTTTCTTCAGTTTGAATCCTTTAAAATCCACGTTGAAAAGTTTAGATTAATTTTTAACAACGTTGCGAAATGTCCTTACTGTTCTGTGTCAAATTTGGAAACTGCTTCGTGGATGCAAGATCTTAAAGGGAGTGTTCGCAAAAATTGAAAAGGGTAAAGACTGACTCCGAATTGAAATCGGTTTGGATCGCTACTGATTTTACTTAAATTTGTTGAGAATGTAAGGAGAAAATGGTTAATAACATCAATACCCATTAAGCCAACATGCATAGATTCAAGGACTTGCATTGTTCTACCCAAACCGTAAATAGGTCCAATAAATAAGTAAAAAGTCAACGAAGGTCAAAATTTATAAACAAGAGAGAGAGGTGAGTTAACTAACTGGTTTATCGCATCTCTTGTGCCTACAAGATCAGCTTGAATCAAAGGTTCAATTTTATCTCGTACGTCGGTGCAAGAGAAATAGATCAAAACTTGTTCATTAACCTCTCGTCGCTATTCATAAGTTTCTATCTTAGTTTATTAAATTCTTACTTCTATCAGTGTTGGTGTCACTGTCTACTATTCTATATTTCCTTTTCCAAGCAAAGTATTCTTGATATTTCTCAGGGTTTTTCATTAAATATCTAAACAAAGCAAGTTGTAATAAACAATCTTTGGTTTGCACGCGCACAGAAAGGAAATGCCACAAACTCAAATGTTTTAATCCCTATATCTTTTCAACCCGACGTCGTAGACCTTTGATAAGTTAGAAATGTCGAAGGTTTACATAATCAGGCTGCAAAGATATAGGGATTATACAAATCTAAGTTTGTGGTAAAGACTTAATTCTTTTAGTTATTGCAGACTAGACAAAGGAAGAAGGTGAAGAGAATGAAAATCCGCGAAAGGGGGATTATGAAATCCATCTAAAACGTTCATACATGTTTTATTCTTCAATTTTTGGCCAAAATATCATTATTATATTCCAGTTTTCAATTTTAATATTTCTAATGACAATCATGATTTAACTAAAAGTTAGGTTATGTAACTGGATATTGTGATATCCTACTGTGGACTCAAACAACAAACTTTCTAAGTGGGAGGGAAGGGGGGGGGGCTTTGATAATTTAAAGGCCTAATTCTTCTTACAACTAAGTGGGGGGGGAGGGGGGGGGGGCTTTGATAATTTAAAGGCCTAATTCTTCTTACAACTAAGACAGCCCTCAGATCGGGCTTAATTTATTTTGATTAGTGGGCTAACGCAGAGACTGAATTTAAATAAAAATACCATTATTTTTTTTACATAATTAAAAAATCGAGCCCTATTTACGCTTAATTTCTTAGAAAGTTTGTTTTTTGAATGCACATCCATATTTCACATCCATATACACAGTTCTTAAACTACCCCAAATTAAATTAAAGGTTAAGCTGAATAACCTAAATTCAGATCTACCTAAATAAACCATATTTAGAACTTTTAGTTTAAAAAAAAGGAAGAATATCTAATTAACAGCGGTCGGCGTTTATATCAATATAATGAGGACAAATTTTTGATTTAAAATTATAAAATTTGTTTAGTATAGAGAATCTGTTAATTGACAGCTTCTCATTGTTTCCATCAAAATCAAATTTTGAAATCAATTATTCGTCTTAATTGTATTGATATATTTGTATTGTATTTGATATATTTTATACCAAAAGTGAACGTGAACAATACATATAATAGGGTGATAAATAAAATACGGTTATCTTTCACACATTTATTATGAACCCGATAAATTTTGATTTTTTCAAAAACCACCAATGAAAACAGCAAAATCTACGATTAAAATAAGTAACACAAACTATGAATGGGCATGAAGTGCCCTGTAAGCTTCGTGGTATATAGGTTCAAAGTTGCATAGAAAAATGTTCAGTCATGCCAAGAATACTTAAAGTCATTTCATAATTGTCATGGAAAACAAATCTTCAAGTATCATTCTTTTCATAATTTTACACTTAACCATTCTGCCACTTTTAAAACCAATATTTAATCACTTTAAATATTTTTCTACTTTTCCCTTTGTAGAATTTTTCTAATTCACATTAAATTTCAGTTTTAACAGTATAAATGTTGCATAAAGGAATTGATTTATTGCCACAAACTCTTATTTTATAAACCTTATATCTGTACAGCCCAAATGTCGTAGACCTTAGCTATTTCAAACCATAACATCTGTTAAATTAAATAAAATAAGTTTGAAATATCAAAAGTTTGAACCATCAGGTTTTGAAAAGATAGAGGGTTAAGAAAATTTAAGTTTGTGGCAAAGACTCAATTCCTTTTTTCACGCTAGATTGAAATCTGACATGTTTTCTTGATTCCGCTATAGAGTTATTTAAAAGAATTAAATGTTTTTAATTTTATTTTTAATTTTTTTCGGCTGCGAGGTGTCAACGTTATACCAGTAATGTCACATAACTTTTAATTTCTCCTTCTGTGTCTATAGTGAACTGCTACAACATTCATTTTGATTTTCTTCTACGGTGGTAGGCGATTATATCAATATAATGAAGAAGACTTTTTTATTAAAGTTTTAATTGTCAAACAACTTTTTTCTAATTTAAAGTTTACAAGTAATAAAAGAGAAGCTTTTTAAATTGACAGCTTCGCTGTCTTCTTTGTTTCTATGTATTGGGGTATCCATGCTGTTTAAAGCTTGATATAAATCAAAATTATAATGATCAAAAGTCGTCTTCATTATATTGATATAATCACCGTAGCTATTTAATTATATATTCTTCTATCTTTGACATTTTAATGATGTGACGACACGTTGTTAACACAACACAACTCTTTGAATGGAGGGTCACACTAAAATTAGTATACCGTCCCTTTAACCTGACTATTCATATCTAGTCGACAATCCCTTTAACCTGACTATTCATATTTAGTATACCGTCCCTTTAACCTGACTATTCATATTAAGTATACCGTCCCTTTAACCTGACTATTCATATCTAGTATACCGTCCCTTTAACCTGACTATTCATATCTAGTATACCGTCCCTTTAACCTGACTATTCATATCTAGTATACCGTTCCTTTAACCTGGCTATTCATATCTAGTATACCGTCCCTTTAACCTGACTATTCATATCTTGTATACCATCCCTTTAACCTGACTATTCATATTTAGTATACCGTCCCTTTAACCTGACTATTCATATCTTGTATACCATCCCTTTAACCTGACTATTCATATTTAGTATACCGTCCCTTTAACCTGACTATTCATATCTTGTATACCATCCCTTTAACCTGACTATTCATATCTTGTATACCGTCCTTTTAACCTGACTATTCATATCTAGCATACCGTCCCGGATCCCTTTAACCTGACTATTCATATTTATTATACCGTCCCTTTAACCTGACTATTCATATCTTGTTTTTTTCTACATTTCAACCTGAGTTTACTCCATACTAAATACAAGACCTCTGTTGTTAAGTTTGAGAAGTCATATCATGCCTGTACCAGTCTCCAGTAATTGCAAACTCACCAAAATTGCATTTTTAACACTCCACCAAATGTGTTTGTAAATAAACATTTTAAAAATAACTAGTTTTAGAATTATATTTGTACCAATACAACTGCTTTATTCTAAATGTGAATTTTAAATAATAAAAAAGTATCAAAAGTATCTAAATATAATAAACGTGTTTCTAAAATAGATACTGTTGGTGTTAACTTTTGATGTTTCAAGCTAGCTTAACCCTATCTCTGCTGGGGTATTTGAAAACCAGGATATGCTGGGGGGGGGGTCAATTTGCCCCCCCCCTAAATCCCATGTTTGATGTCCAAATATGACAAATGATACATCATTGGACAGCTCTTGTGCTCTACTTTTAGAATCTGCAAAAAAATTTGCAAATTTGCAAAAATTGAATTTTTTATCGCAAAATCCAGTTATATAGTAAAAATATTTGCAAAAAAAATTTGTCCAAAAAATGAAAAATTATACATTTTTGAAAAGCCCTTGACCATGCCATTTCAAATGTGCAAAAATTTTTGCAAACTTTAAATGACCTGATTTTTAATCAAGAAAATCTAAAAATGTCCAAATTTCCTTTGACAGGTTGTTTGCAAAAAATTTGCAATTTTTTTTCGCAAAACTTGTGCAATTCGTTTTCTTATGTCAAAGGCTTTCCAAAAAGCTAAATTTTATCAAAATCTAACAAGCGGAAGTGGGTCAAAACAAAGATTTAGTTTGTTACAGGAAAAAGCAGTCATTCAGGCAGTGTGACTGAGGACTCAGTCAGTTAGTATTAAAGCCCGGTTTTAGGCTTAAAGGGAGGGCTGTGGGTATGAAAGAAAAGTCAGAAAATTTCAACAGCCTCAGACCAATACTTTTTAAGTTATGTAAAAAAAACTACAGGGGGGGGGTCAAATTGACCCCCCCCCCTGCAGGAATAGGGTTAAACTTTTTGAAAATTCAAATTCGGAAATATCAGATTACAAAGATATAAGGATAAAAATCTGAGTTTGCGGCCAAATCTCACCTCAAATAATTTGCCAGATGTATTGAACTCTCGAAGTCCATTGTGTTTATATAAGAGTGAGGTGGGGCATTCAGGGAATAGTTTGATCCACCATATACTACAGGAACCACATTGGATTTCAGAGCATCAAAAAACTAAAAAAACATTTTTTTAGGTTGTTTTTTAATAACCAAATGTTTGCAAATAAAATGTTGCGAAACTTTGCTTCAACTTTGCTGAAGTTTGCTTAATGTTCTTGATTTTTGTTTAATTTTGTTTATTTTTTTTAAAATATTATTTATTTTGATTTAATTTTGTTTCGTTTTGTTTAATGTTTTTTTTAATTTTGTGTAATTTTGTATAATTTTCTTTACTTTTGTATAATTTTGTTTAGTTTTGTTTAATTTTGTTTAATTTTGTTGTACTATTCACCTTTTCTGTGACATAATCTTGACAGAGTGTATTCTCAAATGCCAGATAAAAGAAATATTTGTCAACATTAAAACCGGTTCCAGCTCTCCCGGCAATCATAGGCTGGAGTTTGGAAGGCTCCCAAAGCTGATAAAAAAAGATTTAAAACTATAAATATTTACTTGCTGAAGTGCCCGGCGTTGACTGTGGAAATTTTGGTTTTGAATTTTGAAAAAAAAAAGATTTTTGTCATTTTTTTTTATTTAAAAAAAATGTATTTGAGCAAAGAGTTTTTATTATATATGAAGGGCGCGCCCGTGTTGTCCGTGTAAAAAAAATTTTTTTTTTTAAAATGTGAAGAAATTTTTTTTCAGTCCATTTGCCAGAAGGAATGTCTTGTTTTATTTTATAGATTACGATTTATTAATTTTCTTGCGAAGAGTAAAGTATAGGAATTAAACAAATCTTAGAAATATCAAAGATATTTAATAATCAATTACAAAATTTGAGTTTGTTGCAAAGCTTTAAAGGTTCAGTCCCTTAATTTGACATAGTTCGATTAAAATCATAATAATTATGCATAAAAATATTTAAAATATTTTTTTACTGCATGGTTTGTTGACTATTAAGTTTATAGTTTGAGGAAAAATTCTTGAATATTAACTTTTTTGAAAAAAAAATTAACCCTTCATTGAAAGAGTGACATCCTATTTAGAATCTTTAAACATTTGTCTGTGCAAACAAAATGGAGTTATCCTTGTTTTCCTATCTTAAAATTGAATATTTTCAAGTACAGAAATCTATAAAAGTTATTTATGGATTTAAGCAACATAGCCAAGAAAAAGAAATAAAAGATTTAATAATTTTCAAGATAATATTTAAGCATCGGTAATCCGATGAAAAGCTATATAGGGTATCACTGTGAATCGGCCATGAAATGCTTTAAATTGAGGGTCCTTGAAATTGCAACGAAAGTTTATAATTTCAACGGATTTTTAATAATCGTTTAAACATATTAAATGTTTGAAAAAATATTTGAATTTGCTTTCTAACCTTGGCACATGTTCCCCTGAAATCTATCTGTATTGAGGAGTTCAACTCCTTCGCTATATCCTCCCTCCTGCTGTCTGTTCTGCAGTGTGACGTCACAAACAGAACCGGTCTGAAATATTAAAAACCGGGTTGTGTACAGCACAGACCTATACAACTGATTCACCGCTTGTTTGTACGCTGTACAAACCTGCTCTACCTGGTTCAAACCAGGTCAATGTATATTTCAGTTTTCAGTTTAATAAAATTTCCACCTTTCTTTAAGTTTGATGTCTACTACTGAAGCACTGATGTCGTCCTCTAGTTTTGGAATAACTTGACCATATGGCACATAGATGTCAGAATCTCTTCTAAAATTAAAGGGATAGCATGTCCACAAAATTTAAAGGAAGTGACCGGCAATTCAAGGTAGTTGAACTGAGTATGCAGTGTTGTGGAAAACTTCTTTCGGATTCATTTGAGACATATTATAATTTAAGATCTGTAAATCCTGATTTTGAGCGCAAATATTCGACGTTCGAAACTTCTACTTTGGGAGTGGATACGTTTTCAGAATTAGTTTTTTTAAGAGATGTTGTTGCTAGCAGGGTTAGAGTAATTAGTATTCATATATAGTTTCGGAATTAGGAAAAGAAATTTTTTTAAAAAGTATATTCGGCCAAACACGACGGTGTGCCAAACAGTTTCGATCAATCTAGCCTTTATAGGCATCTTTAAGATATTTAAGAGATGTTTGCCTTCGTCAACATTTGAAATCTAAAATAGAAAGCTTTCAAAAAAAAATTAAAAAGATAGACATTAAAGCATTATACCTGAAAGTTATTGTGGTATTAAAAAACCCTTTTAAAGTTTTATACTCCCAACTTGTAAGATATGCACAGTGTTGTAAAGGTTCAATACTGAATAGCATATATCTAAATCATAGAAAAATATAATATTTAATTATTAATATTATTACAGTTTGTCCCAATGTTTATTCTTGCCAATTAACTTTTTAAATTTTTTTCTTCAATATTCTGTTGTAAACATTTCTTAATGTACTAAGAAAATGTACACATTTTAACAAATAACATAATAAAAGACCAGTTCCATGTTAAAGGTACTGTAAGCGTTATTTAAGAAGACCCACCATGCAAAAATGTCGTTTTTCTAGGTTTAAAAGTATTTAATTTTAATTATTTTATGTATATATTTTCGCTTTAAGAGGGAACCACAATTGAAAATATTAAGTTTTCGAAATTGTAAATATTTGATAAACATTTCAGACATGATCAAAGAAAGCTTCTTCTGTCAGATTTCATTTAAATATTTCTTATATTTTCGTGCCAAAACAAATTGATAAAAATTATGGAAAGAAATAAAATTTTTGCCACAATATCTAACATTCTAATTCCTTTATCTTTTCAACCCACTGTCGTAGTCCTTAGATATTTAAAACTGTTAATTTTGATAGATCAAATATTCTAAGTTTGAGATATCAAAGGTGTACGTACACCATCTAGTTGTGAAGATATAAGACCTAGAAAATTAGAGTTTGTGACAAAAACTCAATTTAACTTTTTTGTCAAAAATTTACAATCTTTTAAAATGGCGACAACACGATCAATTAAAGAATGGAAAAGATCAGTATTAATATTTAATTTTGTCTGAATTCATCTAATTAGTTTAGCTTTGAGTCAGAGGAAATTATAAAAAAAATATTTTATAACCTTTGTTTAATTGTTCGACGAGATGGAATATCAAACTTATTGTAGAACATTTGCCAGGAGTGGAATATTATGGCATCATAGTCTTCTACAGCCATCAGATTCCTTTTCCCTGGCATAACATTATTAAGCAATTTAAAATTCAGTGATGGTGATGGACCAAACCTCTGTAGAGTAAAAAAGTAGATGTTAGTTCCACATTTATTGAAAATATATTTCNGTAACCATAGGTGGATTTTGAAAAACCTCCTTCATCCAAGGATCCTGGACCATGGTTCTCCAATGTTTCTGTATGATGGAGGAGATACAAGGCAGCTGGGGATTAAATGAGATAGAGAATATAACTCGATCTGGTTTCTCCTTTTTCTCCACTTTCTTTAAAGCAACTTCTCTATGGAAAACTAGCTGAAGTACCCGGCGTTGCCCGTGGAATTAAAACACTTTAGGAAAACTTTCTTCAAATTCTGATAAAGGTGACGAATTTTGAAAAAAGGGCGAATTTTTTAGCCCATTTGGTCCAGCTGTTTGGACCAGCGAACATATAATAATATATATGACTATGGACTAAGAGCTTTATTATATAGATTTGAGAGAAACACTATTTGTGTGGATTGACGGGGCTATAAATTCTAGGAAATTTCAAGTGCCTTAATAATTTCTTAAAATTAAATTTACTTAAACATAATCAATTGGAAAATGGTCAATTTGTTATGTCAACATTTTTTGCTCTTAGTATCTATTTACAAATTACAAATATATATATCTGATTCTATGTATTAAGGTTTCTATGTGTATTATAAGCCGTACCTGTTATAAAACAATTTGTATATTGACATTGCTTAAACGGACTTGAACCTTCCCCAAGGTTCCAGGTTCTATTTGGGTCTTCTTTATCATTCCACCTATACAATGGTACCTATAAAACTGACTTGAACCTTCCCCAAGGTTCCAGGTTCTATTTGGGTCTTCTTTATCATTCCACCTATACAGTGGTACCCTTAAAACTGGGGAGTAGAAATGTGGCATTTTAGTGCTTTTATGTTTATATCAAGTTGATACAAGGTAAATAGATTTTTATCTGTGTTTACTGCCTATTTCTACGTTCCATGTTTGCAAGTATTAATAATATTTAACGTACAGAGAAACCAGAAAACAGCGGACTTTCCGTCATTTTTTATTTGAATTATTAAATATCGCAATTGCAAAAGAATTTTTAGAATAATTGTAACTAAAATATTTCTAAAACAGTGTCCTCAGCTTAAAAAAATATTTTATTTGTAACATTTATATATTTCAAAATCTTTAAAGACATTTCTGAACTAAAAACAAAGAACAAAAACCGATATTCATGACACACATTTTTGGTTCCCACTCTAATTCTAGATATTTTTGTTTAGTTTAATGTTTGTTCAAAGTTTTTTTTGTTTGGTTGTGTAAAAGTGACGTATATATAGTTTAATGTCTGTTCAAAATTTGTAAGTGAAAAATGAAACCTTCAATTATCTATTATTTTCTAAATTTTCAGGCTTTTATACCCCCCCCCCTGGGCCCCCTACATTAGTGCAATTTTTCCTTCACTTTAAAGTTAAGTATAGAACATCGTATATCAGCTATCTTAGTTATCATGATTTTTAATATTTCTTAGATAATTACCCAGCACGGAGCTTAAGAACGGTTTGTACTTAAAGGGACTGTGAACAGAATTTCAAGTGGACCCTTATTCAAGAGTTCGATTAACATTGTTAAGGTACCATCTTTATATATATATATATATATCTTTATTTGAACAACATTAAGCAAGATATAATCTTAGCTGGAACTGTTTGAATCCGTAAACAATAATACAAAATTATCAGACAGAAAAACTTGAATATATTTTTGTTTTGTTTAGACGAATGTGTACCAATGTGGTTATGAAACTCTTTTAGTATTGGGACACTTGACATTTTTTAGTACTGGGACACTTGACATTTTTTAGTACTGGGACACTTGACATTTTTTAGTATATATCTTTAAATGGACTGTCAACGCTATATCTTTAAATGGACTGTCAACGCTATATCTTTAAATGGACTGTCAACGCTATATCTTTAAATGGACTTTTAACGCTATATCTTTAAATGGACTGTCAACGCTATATCTTTAAATGGACTGTCAACGCTATATCTTTAAATGGACTGTCAACCGGTTATTGGCAATTAGATTGAAACTCATTTATTGTGAAAACTTTGATAATTTGTAGAACAATGGGGTTTCATTCTGCTCTCTTCTACGGTACATTCTATAATTAATTAAATATTTTATAGACATAGACTAACTAGACATCGGACATAGTCCGGGAAATATTTGGAAAAAATGCAGTATTTTTCTGCTTTCATTAGTGGAAATATACAATTTTTCTAAAAACAAATAGTTTTGAAGACAATTTCCAAAGATTTTGGCTGTCCATAAAACTTTTTTCGTTTAGGTCATACAAACAACTTGCATTTGATCGTTTTAAAGGTTTAATTTTCTTTTTGACACAAAGAAATAAATTAACAAAGATGATCAGATATGCCAAATATATATTATAAATAGGGTTTCTAATGCAAGTGGATTTTACTTGCGGACAATTGCGGCTTCTGTAATTTCGCGCAATTCCACGTATTACGAGAAGAGTTGAGCGCAATTCTGCGCAATGGAATTTTAATTGGAAACCCTAATGATAAATAACTTTTTATAAACAGAAGTACTATTATTCTACCTTGTATATCAACCTAGATTTTCTCTGTAATATTTAGTCTATGATATTTCATTAATAAAATCTGTTCACACTTTAATTGGGACACTTGACATTTTTTAGTATTGGGACACTTGACATTTTTTAGACAGAACTTTTAAAGACACCTTTCCTTACAACAGAACCTGAGAACAAATGTTTTTTTTACAGAATTTGAATTTTGCTCTAAAAGCTTTTTTTAGAGTTAATGGGACTGAAAGCGTAATTTTAAATGACCCTCCATGCAAAGATGGCAATGCCCGATATACAACGGTACCCTAAAAGGGACTGTAAAGGAAAAATGAAAGATGGGATAGGCTAAAAGTTAATCACTTTAGCTCTTGATCACGACCCATCAACGTTATCTGGTGTTCCTGTCTAGAGAAATTGATAAAAAAAACAGTGTCAGATTTATACGAAAATGGTAATAGGTATTAAAAATAAAAATAAAAATAAAAATTATAAAATAATAATTTGGGAAAACCTAAGCTACCATTAGGTTCCTCTGGAATATCTTCGTTTTCAGATTGGTTGCGTACTTGCTGAATATGATTTATAATTTAAAAACTGATTATTTCAATTGTGAATTCTTTACAAAAATTACTTGCGCATTTCTACTGGAGGAAAAAAATATAAGAATTACCAGAATTATCACTTTTAAACCTAGAAAAATAACAATTGCTTCCAAATTATTGATCAGTTTAAGGTTTCAAGGGTATCGTTGTGAATCAGGCATCCTTGCATGAAGGTTCACTTAAAATTACGCTTAAAGTCTTTTTAACGGGGGAGGGGGGAGGGAGGGGGGGGGGCTAAACTTATCACTAGACACTGGTCCCTTTAAATCGCATGAGAGAACTTGACGTTAAATATGTGTATTTACTTTTTTGCTAATTTTGAAATTGCAGTTTCTTTGCAATTTCTTTCAAACTCGAGAAATTTCTAAAAAATACACGTTTGTAGTATAAAATTGGCCAATTTTAGAAAAAGTGGGATAAATCATTATGAAACAATAGAACTGATCTTATTTTTTCACTTTGTAACCTGATTTCATATCAATCTTTAAATATTTGTTGAAATATTTAGGTATTTACACTTGGATAACTTTAATACAGAAATTCTCAAATTTTAAAGTGCACACATTGGATATCAAGAATGAAAGCCTAGAAGTTGACTGTTACCAATTAAAGTTCTCTCTGATGCCCCTGTCTCAAGAAATTAATATATAAAACTGTTTCCAAGTTATGCAAAATCTCTAATTTATGTGATACTAACTGAAGGGCCCGGCGTTGCTCGTGAAAAAAAAAGAATTAAAAAAATTTAGATTTTTTTATCCATTTGGCCGGCTATACACAACATATATATACCGAATGTCTTGTTTATTATAGATGGTATTTGAAATAAAGTTTAAATAGATAATATTCAGCAAATACGGAATGTATCTGAAAATCATGATATCCCAAAGGTGCCTAGAAATTATAGGCACGCTACTTTCATAATTTGAATATAATAATTATTCATTTTTAACAGGTATTGTTAATTTTTAATCTTGTTTCGTCTGTATTATGTGTCAAGAATTTCCACCAATGAAAGTGCAGTATCTGGTCATGTGGCTTCGTCTGTATCACATGATCAGAATTTCCACCAATGCCCGTGCAGTATATCAGGTCATGTGCCTCCATCGACTAAAATCAGAGTTTTCGTATTACTAGGACACAGTTTAATTTAATTTCTTGAGACAGGGACATCAGATACAAGTACTATTGGTCTCGATCTACGCCTAGAATTTCTAAACTTTAGAATATGTATACACCCTTTCATTTACTCTACCAGTCCCTTGAAGATAAACGATACTTCATACAAATGTTCCGACCTTGGAGTACATTTTTAGAAGTAGTCTAGGTGAAATTGAAATATGAGAGACTCCACTGTTTTCTGGTTCCCATTCTACCTCTCTCTATGCATACATACCATGGTGTCCAAAGCAGAATATATTTAAAGGTTTCTTCTTCTTCTTGTTGTACAGTGGTAGTCCAGGATATTGTGCTGTTGCCAGAACTCATGTATAAACACAATATAAGTATAGGCACGTTAGGCTTTTTTTTCACTTCGCTTCTTCATCGTTTCGTTCGTTTTTTTCAATAGTTCAAAAAAATTGATTTTGTTCATTCTAAAAAATATCTTTTATTTTCCACCTATTTTGTTAATTTTCTCATTGAATGATTGTTCAGTAAAATCATTCGCTCAGTAAGAATAATCATTTTTTCAAAAAATTTGCTAAAAAAATCTTTTTTTTAGTAAAAATACTATAATTCAAAAATTGTTTGTTCCAAAACATAATTGGTTGAGTAAAAAATCTGTTGGAAAATTTGTACATTAGGTATAAAAACTATCGTTTTATGTTGTTTGTTTTAACGATTTTAAATCGTTCGTCTTTGTTTTTTTTGTTCGTTTTAAAAAACGATCTTTTTTTCATTTCTGTGAAAAATGTTTTAGTTCACAAAAACGATGACCATCTCTAAGTATGCAGGACATGTAGATTGATATTGTCGAAGCAGTAAAATAATTATAGATTGCAGTACGTAAACAGTTTAAATTGTATTGTAGTAAAATAACAATATTGATTGTAGTAAAATAACAATATTGACTGGAATACAATAAGAGTATTGATTGTAACACAATAAAAATATTGATTGTAGTCAAACAGAATAGAATATATATTAGATTGGAATTTACTAGAAAATAGTGTAAAACGGCCATTCTGTTGTACTGTTTCCATACTCCATACTTCACATATTTGTGCTATATAACCTTTTGGGCCCTGGAACATCATTTTATAGAAAATCTAAAATTAATATTGAAAGAAAACCAAATTATGAAATAGACTGGTTTCATAATTGACCAATGATCATTTCACATTCTATGCCTTTCACTTTACAAACGATGATTTTCCGTTATAACTATAAATCAAATGATGTGATATAATTTGTGAACATTTACATGATTTGTACACTTTGAACTTCCTTTCAGGCTGAAAGGGACTGACAAAATTCATACCGAGGGATTGACTAAATTCCACTCTAATAAATATTCTATTATCTTTGATTGTAGTACAATACCAATATTGATTGTAGTACAATAACACTATTGATTGCAGTACAATAACAGTATTGATTGTAGTACAATACCAATATTGATTGCAGTAAAATAACAATATTGATTGCAGTACAATAACAATATTGATTGCAGTACAATAACAATATTGATTGCAACACAATAACAATATTTATTGAAATAGTAAATATTTTTAAGTTTAAAAATCAGATTATTTTTACCTTGTAAATAGTTCTGACTCACTTGAAAACTGATAAATCATCAGAAAAGAAACTAAAATTTAATTTAATGCATTTTATTAGAAAAATCGAAATAATAGTCAAATTAAAGGGACTGTAGACGTTGTTCAAATTTTTAATTTAACAATTTTCAATTATTGGTTTTCTGTAAATGTTGCTTTCAAGATAATGCAGAGACAATGAAGAAATGGTGACTGTTGAGAAGCTAAAACCTTTTTAGATAGAAATACGACTTGTCAATTTATAGATAGAGGTTCATTTTAAACAACTTTAAGTCTAGAGCTGGGATTTTAAAAGCTTAAACCCGAATAAACACTGGTCGTTTGAAGGACTCGAGCTCATTTAAACCCAAGTCAGGATTGGTTCTGATTCGACCAATGAGAGACTGCTTAGAAGCTTTCTCTCTGTAGAAGACAGATCAGCTGTGAGAAGGAGATGTAAATTTCGAAAATTCGAACTTTACATTATTTTCATAGTATATGTTCTTTTATAGCTTTCATCAAATTTGACACTAAAAATATTTCCCAAGACTTTAACAAGGGTTTGAAGACCCGAGCCTTAAAGAGCGAAAAAACCCAAGGCGGTTGGTTTTTACTAAACCCAAGGCCATCCAAAACCCGAGTCTTGACTTGAGCTTTGCTTGGGTCTAAGTAGACGCTAAGGCCGGGTATTACTCGGGTTTAAGCTTTTAAAATCTCAGCTCGGATTCCAATACTGACATTAATTTTAGATTTACCTAAAAATATTATAAAAAGAAATCCATTCCATTTTATCTTCATTATTCTAAAATGTGTTTGAACATAATAAGCTATTGGATAAAAATACTTTATGTGTAATAATGTGTATTCGGAGTCAAACACTATATCAACATCGTTTTTAGAACAAGGCATATTTTGCAGGTGAAACATTTCTGATATTTTACCGACATTAAATTTTTTTGTAAAACATTCTAGCTTTTATCATTAATTAGATTTGTTTTTAACATCCTAGATATTACATTTCCACTTTATGTAGGACACCACTGCATTCCCCCCCTCCCCCTCAAATGTTGTAAATGTGTATTAACTTCATGATAATTTACATAATTAATGATTTTCAATTATATATAAATAATCATTACTGCATTAATAAATTGTTGAATACTAAAACTAAAATTAATTTTACATCGTTCGTAAAAAAGTCATTTTCAAATTGATTAAAGAACTATAAAAAATCTAATGCCGAACCGAAACTGTAGAATATGATTTCGACTTTTAAACAATAGGAGGTCACGGTGGACCAAGCCAGTAGGGTCAGTCAAATGGGCCTAGGATTAGGCCGGGTACTGTAAAAAGTCTGAACCCGCCATGGGAGTTGTCATAGTTAGCCCTTCACGGGACTATGCCAAGGAAATTGACCCCTGTCGTATGTTAGTCTGGTTAGGGCGACGTACTGTACCATAGGATCGGGTCAGTACACGCTGATATCTGGCAGGCTGGTACAAACTGGGCAGGTCCTGTTCGAATTCAAATTTACTACGGCCAAGAGTGACGTGTAATCAATGTTAATGTAAAGCAATGACCAATAGCTTGACACTCATCTAAGAAACTAAAATGGGTCTGTCTGTATGTTCACTGCAGAATTGCTGTGTTCACCCTGAAAACATTTAGTCTCCAACATACCGATGTCGCACATTAAATGTCCAGAATTATTTACCCGAAATTTTCGCCATCGGAACATATAATCGGTTAAAATGTTCACTAGACTATTTTAGATCAGAAGTTAAATCTACTAGTTGTATTCTTATTTAACAGTATTATGGGTCTCACTGTAAAATTTAGCAAACATTTTAACAATTCGCAATTCCCTCAAAAGAGCCAAAATACGATAATTAACAATTGTTTAAATAACTTCATTTTTTCAAAACCGAAGTCATTATTGAAAAGTAAATGAGTTTTTAGCACAAACTCTAATTTTAAATTCTTATATCATTGCAACCCATTGTAGTAGACCTTCGATATGTAAAATTATGAATTCTGTTAGATAAATAGTATAAGTTAGAAATATAGAACTGTACAAGTGTACAACATCAGGTTCCATTAGATATAGGGATTAGAAAATTCTAGTTTGTAGCAAAAACTCAATCCCGTTGTCCCAACGTTTGAATTTGTACTATTTAAGGCACTCTTTAATAAGATGTCATAATAAACATCGGTGACAGTCCCTTTAAAGGAACTATATAAGCGTAGTTTCAAGTGACCTTCCATGCAAAGATGGCTTTGCCAGATTTAAGCTTTGTCTGATCAAGTATGAATTAGATATCAGTGTTTTACATTTTTAAAACTTATTATTTTCAATTGATGTTTCACTACAAAAGTGAATTGAGCATTTCTTTAGCAGGAAAACGTATACGAGTTATCAGAACTAAACATGTTTAAACCCAGACAAAACGACAATATCAGCCATATTATGAATCAGATAAAGGTTTCAAGGGTACCATTGTGAATCAGACATTGCCATCTTTGCATCGAGGTTCTTATTAAATTACACTGACAGTCCCTTTGTTAATCTAGAAGATGCAATGTAGTGCAGCGTGGGATAATATATAGAAGATTACCAACTTTTTATACTTTTATATAACACTTGAAAACACACGCGCTCTTCTATATTTACATTGCTTGTCTGTTCTGGTGTTTGTTTGTTTGTTTTTAAAATGTAACTGATAAACGTCAAAATAGTTGAAGCGATCGGGCCCAAATATTTTGTGGGACCTCACATGACCCCAGGTAAGGTTTACAAAAAAATACAAAATTTTTTTTTTTTTAAATATTCATATTTTTGTAAATTTTAAAATCCACGACAAATATTGTAAATCCGCAAAATTTGTTGTTATTTCTTTATCGAAATAAAAATGCTAAAAGGTTGAGCAACAACTAAGAGTTAAAAAAGAAGATGGGCGCGAAGCGCCCTGATAGCTTAGTAGTTTTATATAACACTTGAAAACACACAAGTTGCAAACCTGCACTTTAAACATCACGTTATGTAAACAAATTACATCTGTCAAAACCAGAGGTCAAGTATTTTTTGTCCAATCGTTAATTTTCTTTTTGTGCATAATTTTTTGATTCGCTATTCATTAATTATTACGAAATTTTACCAATGTCATATTTCAAATTTAATTTTCTGCCCTTTTGTTATTTCAGACTCAATGATTTTTGTGTCTTTCTATTGTTTTGCATACTTTATATTTTTAAATATTAAGGAACTGAGTATTTATCGCAAACTCAAACATTCTAATCTTTATAATTTTGCAACTTGATAGCTAGTGTAAACCTTTGATATTTCAAACTTTGACTAATTGATCTAAAAGAATTCATGGTTTGAAATATCAGAGACAACAGAGCTGACAACTTTTTATCTTAAGTTTGTATCCCAGAAAGTTTCTAAAATTCAACCAATCAGAGTGGTGTATGCAGAATCCCGAACAGCCAATCAGAAGCCAGGAAACTTTTTATTTTGCGTGCCATTTAATGAGAAAAAAGTTGATATTCAGATTAAGCGATCGGTAGTAAGATCCAGTTCTAAAGTTTTCAGCTCAGGTTGCAAAGATTAAGGAATTAGAAAACTAAAATTTGTGGCTAGCGCTTACTTCCAGTATTTTTACTTATTATTAGTTTTGACTTGATTTAGACTTTAAAAAACGTAGATTTACTTGAACTCCTTTAATGATTTTTAAAAAACCGATTCTGATAACGTATCGACTCCTACAGTAGGATTTTTAAACGTCGAATTTGCGCTCAAACTCAGGATTTACAGATCTTTGAAAAGTTTTATATGTCTCAAATGAATCCTAAAAAAGCTTTCCCCAACACTGCATACTCACTTCAACTACCTTACATAGCCGGTGTGTCCCTTTAAACAATAATTTTTGACCAAAATAAAGCTGTTAACAATCGAATATAAAAATGGTATATTGTTGAAGGAAAGACAGAGGAATCAAGTGAAGACTTAAAAAAAGTATTGGTTGAAAAAGTATTGGTAGAAAAAGTATTGGTAGAAAAGGTATTAATAGAAAAAGCATTGGTAGAAAAAGTATTGGTTGAAAAAGTATTGGTAGAAAAAATATTGGTAGAAAAAGTATTAATAGAAAAAGTATTGGTAGAAAAAGTATTGGTTGAAAAAGTATTGGTAATAGAAAAAGTATTGGTAGAAAAAGTATTGGTTGAAAAAGTATTGGTTAAAAAGTATTCGTTGAAAAAATATTGGTTGAAAAAGTATTGGTAAAAAAGTATTGGTAGAAAAAGTGTTAATAGAAAAAGTATTGGTAGAAAAAGTATTGGTTGAAAAAGTATTGGTTAAAAAAGTATTGGTTGAAAAAGTATTGGTTGAAAAAGTATTGGTAGAAAAAGTATTGGTAGAAAAAGTATTTGTAGAAAAAGTATTTGTATAAAAAAAGAGTAGGAAAATATATAGGGAATGCATTGCATAAAAAAGATCATATCAATTCAGTTAGAAATATTCTTTATTGTCAACAACTTTTTTGAAGAGCAATCACAATAATTTCACTAGAAGGGGATGATTAATTTGGTGCACCGTCCCATTGTTCCTGCGTGTATTCTATTCAGCTTTCTCAAACTGCTTAAAAGTCGGCCCGGTAATTGATAACAAAATCCTGATATGCAACCAAAAAATATTGTTTTTACATTTTTAGATGTGAAATGAAAAGAAGTGGTTTGAAAAGTGTATCAATAATTTTTCATTATAAGAATGTCGTCTTTAATGTTTCTAGATAACTTGGAGAAAAAAGAGTAAATGTGAAACAGAAAGACGAAAGTAGTGATAAAATTAAAGAAAAGGAAAGAAGCAATAAAAAATAATTGGGATTATCAAACTAAATTATAATGAATAAAGGGGGGTGCAATCTGATGGTGTAAACCTTTATTATTTCAAACTTAGATTATTTGATCTAAGAAAATTCATAGTTTGAAATATCAGAGGTCTACAACACTGGTTTGCAAAGATATTGGGATTAAAAAATCAGAGTTTGTGGCAAAGAATCAAGTTCTTTTGGCCCTCCAAATATTTCCAAAGGGTGTTCCGAATCAAATGGATTGTTGCTATGTTTTCTTGTCTATAACTTTTTCTTCTAACGTACAATGTAGAAAGTCGTTTAAAATTTTTTTTTAATAACAATTTATAACACCGTTATTTTGGTTCGCAGCGTTATAAAGTTTTTGGACAGAAATTTTCTCTTTATCGAGAAGGTTCAAGCCTTTTAAGATTTAAAATATAATTTTAAAAAGCGAGAACCTGCGAGATATGGAGAAAATTTAAGCCCAAAAACTTTATAGCACGTCGTGCCAAAATAATAGTGTTATAGATAATTTAATGAAACGCTTGTGTACTTGTATTATTTCAATGACTATTTCTAGATAAAATAAGCGTTGAAACAAAGCAGATGTCAAAATATAAAGTTGATTTCAATTTTATTTTCATTTCAATTGAAAAGAATGTTTTGGAAATATCCTAATTTTTTTGGATAAAATCCTTGAACCAATCAAAACTTTTTATCAGACGTGCTAAAATTTATAGCTAATTTAACATAATAGGACGATGATTACGTTCATTTTGAAATTCACGATGAAGTGAGTTATAATGATAAAAAAGATACAAATACACTACAATCGCACAATGGCAAACTTTATGTCTTTTCTTCTTATTACTTATTTTGGTACCGCTTTTAAGTTATTAATGATGTATTTGATGTATATTGTACAATGCTCTACTATGAACAGAAACAATATTA